AGGCACAACTAGGTTACAGAACAACTTTATCTGGAAAGCATCTATTGCTGGATTAGATAGCTTCTTTGAAAGGGATCTGATAGTGAATTCACCTAACTTCTTCCATGTCCCTTAGAGAGGCWAGTTCTTTTSTGTTCAGATGTCTTCTACAAGATCAGCCAACTCAGACAGTTTGCCTAGAGTAAAAGGTGGGAAGATTGGATTTGTATTGGAGATCACAGTGTCCAGAACAGAGTAGACACMGTTTAGCAATTCTTCTTGTATYAATATTCAATATTACTCAAATCCCTTGAATTATGTAGTTTATGATGGTACTTCTCTTATTCTCATCAATAGTAATCATTTTCACATTATTCATCAAAGAAGAAAATGAGAAAGGAATACCCTCATAAGTCGAACCATACTAGTTTAACTCCTTTTTCCTTGGCCAATAAGAACAAGAGTTAATAACATTTGTTGCCAATAGAAAGTTCTTATGTTAACCAACAWCAACCAAAAGAACAAAAAGTAAATTTCAGCATATAACAGAAATAAACAATCAATGATGGTCAAAAGAAGAAATTCATAATGACAACTAAGTAACAGTAATGATTKTGGACATAGTTTTAAACAACCCATGAAAAGAAAACAGAATTGAAAGTTGAAACAGTAAGTCAACAAGCAATAAAGTGAGCAATGCAAATCTTACTTCTTAGGTGGTTGTATGCTTCCAGACTTTGAAACAGCATAGGATCTGATTACAGTACGCATATGGGTACWGACCCACGTCACTGTAAAACCTTATAAAATATCAAAATGTCAAAAAACGATAGGAAATTAAACAAAAATTAGTTTCCAAATCAGAATGCAACGGGTTAGTCTAGTGGAGTCAAAAATTAAGAAGGCTATGCACAATTATGTAAAATCTTCACTTGTCCTTACTGATTAAGATGACTTGAGGAGGGCCATTACCCAATGTTGGTCCCTGATAATCGGGGTCTTGGGAGGGGTGGACTGGATATTGACTTAGCCTTTGGCATTTTTCGTGCACTAAAACGTGAAAAGTTCTGGAAGTTTTTCTTTTGTTCAAACTGAATGAGATGAGTTACGAGTCAAATTGTCTCCTAGCAACAAGTTCATTCCATTAGCAACATAAAGAAGGAAAATGGGAGTATGGATATGAAAAATGCCTAAAAAATCAAGCAAAGGGAGTAAAAATTAATCTCAAACCATTTTCTAATTCCCAGAAATACAAAACCAAAGAAGACGACGACACGATTGTTGGTCAGATAATTGCAAATTTCCAGAAAACTACACAAAAGTTTAATCAAATTTCAAACATTGAACCAGATAAGGATAAATTGGACGATTCAATAAAAGGGGTGTCATTTCTCTGAAGGGATAAAAGGGATTCTGCTTACTTAACTATACTAGACTAGAGAAAGATGTACAGAAACGTGCATGCGTTTCTGTGACTCTGAGGAAAGGAAGACAACATAGTGAGAGAAATGAGATGAGTCAGTGTAAAGCAGATAGACAGACAGTAGAGGAAAATGGAAATATTACCGGGAAATAGTCGACTGTGTGATCTGTAGAACAGGAACAAGTTCGGAGAACGTGAGATGGGGGAGTCTTAAGAGCTCCAGAGCCATTTCTTCTCGGTTCTTCAGTCCTCTTTCCTCTCTTTGGTCTGTTTTCGAGCCAGTGAGATGCTGTATACTTGAAAAGCGTCTCGTCCAATACAGGTGCTGACTGCTGACGGATAAAGGAGGAGATCGAATTTGCTCCTGATAAAGCGGGCCTCACACCATCCTCATAGCGCATCGCAGCATCGCAGGCGTGCATTGAGGACATCTTTCGTAGTTGATCAGTTATACGTGACCAAAGTATTGCCACGTGGTAGATAAAAACAATTCATATTTGAGATGTTCCCAATATGATGTGCTGTTGGTCGTTAGTGGGTGCGCCCTGTAGGGCGCAGATGTGAATTCTCATGTTAATGATGTTCTCTGAAAACTAGACCGGATAATCGGATTGGGTCATCAAAGACTGGACTTAACCTAAACATTTAGGTTAGGATTGACCCACAGGTCAGATGGGTTATGGTTCACCTGGTCGGGTCAGTTGATCTTTGACTAAGTCAATAACATTTTACGAGTTGATTTAATCGTCTGATTCTAACAATTCCACCATCCAAATCAATATTGATTTGAAAAGTTAGTAGTGTGAAAAGAGGTAACATGGTGGTGACCTCGTGACCCAACCTGACCCAAATTTTTTTTGGGTCATGCCACCTAATTCGGGTGGCTATATAGGGGACCGGGAACCTAACCCACTTTTCTGGTTGGATCGGGTTCGTGGGTTGGGATGCCTTTATCTAGATGAAGTTAGCGTATGCCACTCCCCAAATTTTGGCAATGGCGGGATTCAAATCCCAGACTTTGAACCATCCCGTTGGCGAATCCAATTATTAAGTTCATTTTATTCCTTTTTCATTAAACTTGTATTTATGGTATTAATCATGTTTTAAAAAAAAACCCAAAAATGAAATCATTTTGGCCATCGATTTTTGGGTCAATGGTTTGATCGTTCGATTCGAATAGATGGTCTATTCTAACAACAAAAATTAAAAATGGTCAAAACCGTTGGACGAATCGACGGATTGATAATTCGACCACTCATCTTAATGGACCGTTGACCAATTCAATGGTTTTTTGCCAAGGACTGGGTTTAAGGTAAAATGGAACCGGTTGCCTAGAAAGTTCCCGGGCCAAATGGTTCAACCGCCCGAATCAATAGCAGTTCAAAAACCATGGTATTAATTCTCATTCTTTCATTGAATTCTCTATTCAAAATTACCTTTCCAGTTAATTAAATCCATAAACAATAATTTCAATTGTACAAAAACTTATATAAAACTTTTTTTTTCAATTGGTAGGTAAGCAATTCAACCAATTGAGTCAATTGGATCAACCCGTTATGCCAAAATAAAATACTAAAACTTTTAAAAACATAAAAATAAAAATATATTTTTTTTAAATTGGCACATCTGTGTTTAATCTATAATAAATAATTGTGCATTGTGGTGATGCTTGGCTCAATGGTTTAAGCTTGTTGGTCGAAAAATATGTTTGGTTCAACCTACTTTTAGTTGAAATAGTGATGCAATGCCTACTTAAATTGTGATGTCAAATAAATGTTTTTGCAAGAGTAAAGTAGCCATGAGAAGCTGATCTAGCACGTGCAAGACAATTGAAAATGCCTTATCAAGTATCAACAATCTTAGGATTCTCACCCCTTTTTTGTGCCAAGGAAGCTCACCATTAGAAGTTTAACAATATTGGTGTGTGCCTAGAGTAGAAGTTTTTACTGAGATTGGCTTCTGTCAGTGCAACTTCCTTTCTAATAGTTTTTACAGCCTTGCATTGGGAATATCTCCATACTTACGTGTTTTATTTCATGGGGATATATTCTCAATGCAAGGTTGCAGTAGGCTGTTCAAAGGGTGTGAGCATGACCTTGCACTGACTGAAGTCGAACTCGTGCACGGGAGATGTTCCCAGTGCACGAAGGGGATGGGCTATGGGGCGCGGCACATTCTGTGGGCAGCTGATCCGATCACGTTCATAGTCAATTAGGTTTGGTTTGGAGAAGATCTCAAGTCAAATCTATAAATTATAGTCTAAAAAATTCTCAGACCAAATCAAATCGTACTTAATTGGTTTCTATATTAAAATGGTTTGGTTTGGTCTGAGAATTTTTCATACTATAATCTATTGATTTGATTTGTTTTTTAATACGATTTGGGTCATTCTATTAGACTTAATGCAATTAGAAAGCCCAAGTAACTATACATGCTTGCATAAATAACAAATATACTTCAAATATCAAATTGAAATGTTAACAAGTGCTACTATTGTCACACGTACGCACACACACACACACACATAACCGTCGTTGACATGGATGGTCAGACCGTTTGGCCTAGAAACCACCAGGCAACTGGTTCCATTTCACCCTAAAATTGTTCCTTTGCAAAAAACTATTGACTTGGTTAGTAACCCGTTGACGCAGGTGGTCAAATCGTCGACCTAGACAACGGTTTTTGGCCATTTTATTTTAATTATTTTTTTTAAATCAGAACGGGCCATTCATTTGAACCAAACGATTGAACTACTGACACAAAAACTAGTGGCCAAAGCGGTTCTAGTTCAAGGTTGGTTTTGAAAACATTATATATATATATATACTAGTAAAAGTGTATGCGCGTTGCACATGACAATATCAAATGATGATGATAATAGTCAGCAACAAATGACCTTACTGGTTGAACCATTATCCTATTTAACTAGGAAAATAGACTAATTAAGACATTATATTTATTAAAACCTCTAGATTGTACCTTTTTTGATGTCTTATACCACCTATATTCCCTTTGGAAATGGCATACGTGTCATCCATCATGATTTTTTTTTCTGTAATGGAAATTTCAAGGTTACAATCTTTTTTTCTTTTTTAGGGAAACCAAGATAAGAATAATAATGGATAAAATTCTATTAATTTCAAGCTAAATAAATAGGTGAGACACTAAACAAATAGGGAGGATATGAAAGAAATAGAAAAAATATCAGAGCAATTTAGACAATAGCCCTTCTTGTTGTTAAAGCCATCCAATTGACCTCCCTTGTTGAAGGAGATTCCAAGAATGTGATTGGATGGACCACCAATTCAGACAATAGCTCTTGGCAACTTGGCCTTCACTCCTTGCTACAGCTATGCAGTTGACCTTCACTCCTTGCTAGGTTCATGCTTCAGATGGATCCTTAGAGAGATTAATCAAAGAGCTGAGTTTTAGCTAAATCAAGTTTGAGATGACTTTTTTGTATAGTGCTGATAAATTTCCTGATTCTTTTGTTATACTATTAATCTTCCTCCAAATTTGTTTTCTGAGGCACATTTTACCAAATTCTCTCACTTTTGGACAAGTACATTGAAATCATAAAGAAACCCTTTCCTTGGAAATTTAGACATACTGGAATAGTCTTAGATATGATGTAATTTGCAATTACCAAAGATATAATGTGGATAAGTAAACTTTGTATCTATTCTATTTTCAGTCCATCGATCCAACAACTTCTCAGGTTGGATAGATTGTTGGGGAGACTTCTCATCATCAAGTCCTAAACCCAAGTAGTCAACCCCAATCCATTCCAAGGATTCTGTCAATGTAGATGAACTGATGGACTTGTCTACACTTAGACTAAGGGATGTTGATAATGGTCATATGGAACCTTCAGTAGGTTACACTAAAATTAATTGGAGCTCCACCAAGGCAATCAGCCTTCCATGCAAACCCACCCGTTAGTCAGCTTTGAGCAATAGCAACAGTAGTGCAATTCATGCAGTTTAGATCATGGAGTATGGAGGTTCTCTATAACATGTTCTTTTTGGTATACTTTTAACTACCCATTTATAACTGTTTATAAACTATCCATTTATAACCATTCAAAAACTGTTCATGGATTATAAATAATTTTGTCTTAAAGATACTGTCACGTGTAAATGCACATACAAGTTTATTAATAATATTATATGTGTCCAAAATTGTTTTATATTTTTTTGTACTATTCTATTTAAAAAAAATATTTTTAATAATACATCATGGGTTAATCTATTTGACCTGAAAGGTTGAACCACTAACCCACCCCCTAGATAGGAAGATGATTTAATTTGTCATTGGTTTTAAGTTGTATATTTGATGTCCATCATTAATAAAATTATGTCTATTTTATCATAATTATTTTTTAATATAACAAATGTATAATAATAGAAATGTGTCCAGATTTTTTCTATATTTTTTGTATTTCTTATATCTCTAAATTTGTATTATTTATTTATGACACTATGAAATTATCCATTTGACCCAAATGGTTGAAGTACTTACCCACGACCTAGATGGAAAATATAATTTCATTTCTAGGTTTATTTTAAAAATATAAAATTTCATTATATTAATAATTATTGTGTATGGATTAGTGGAATTTAATGATGATAAAAAAACTTTAAAAATATTTTTTATATTTCTAAATTTGTATTATTTATTTATGACATCATGAAATTATTCATTTGATCTAAATAGCTGAACTACTTACCCACCACCTAGATGAAAAATATGATTTCATTTCTATGTTTATTTTAAAAATATAAAATCTCATTCTATTAATAATTATTATGTATGAATTTATTAGTGGAATTTAATGATGATAAATAAAAGTATAAATGTTGGATTCAATGAGAGAGAATGTGCTTAAATTTGAGAATTAATGAGAGGTAAGTGAATGTACTTAATGTTACACTATAAAATGTATGGATGTTCTAACAATATTTCTGGAATTTTGGTTGAACAAAGCTTACCCTTTCATTTGACATTTTGTAAAGTGTAAATAAGGATAAAATATGTATTTTTCAACCTATTTAAAGACTACACTATAATTAAATAACTGCAATAATTCAATGTGTATTGAATGGCAATTGAATTACTTGGAGAGAAATTACCTTTTAACGTTGACATTTCCAAAGTCAAAATGAGGACAAAAACATGTATTGTACAACTTGTTTGATAAAACCTTTGTAAAGATTTAAATTAATGATTGTAATTTGGTAATTAAGGCTATGTTTGGTTTGAAGGAAAAGGTAAGGAAAGGAAGGGAAGGGAAACCAATACAAGGTTTGTAAAGGTTTTCCTACCTTTCTTTTCCCTACACTTTCCTTCAAACCAAACATAGCCTAAAAGTCTCTTAAGTATACTTAATACTTCACTCTTCCTCTTTCGTTGTTGGTCAAGTGTTAGATGCATCTTCCTAGCTATTTCATGTACAATTATCCTGAATTATAATTAAGCCCAAGTGTTCTTGTTTGGATGTTTACATTGAACAAATAATAAGTTATCTTATTGAATGGCTAATGCTTAGTATTTAATCAATGTCCATTAATGTCCAATGAGCAATATTTTAAAATTTTAATTAGGGCTTAATTAGTTTACCTCGTTCCCAAAGGACTAAAAGATAAAAGCGATGAGGTCAAGTTGGGAAATGATGTGCATGGTTATAGCATTTTTAACTAATGGATCCAAACTTGGGATTAAGGATATTATTAACCCGTCGAGGTTGATGCAGTTTGGCCCAACCTAAACCTGACCCCAAACCCAATTAAGGATGACCCGATAGGGTTGGGTCAGTTCAGGTTTACCTCTTAACTGACCCACTAACATCTCTAAACCTACTAGACATTCTCTCACTTATCACATTCACACAAATACATAGAATTTTAGAGAGGCTTAGAAGCATAACCACGACCCATCCTCTCTCCTCCCCCATGTCCCTATGGTGTCCCCAAATAAGTTTAGAAGTAAGAAAACCCCCCATGGATAGTGCTAATCTCCAAGGCAAAAGCTAGATGCACTCTTAGAAAAAAATTTGCAACAGAGAACAAGATGATATTCAACAATGGTTCACACTAAAGAAGCATACAGCTAGCTTGGCTTTCATGGTGTTTTTTTATTCAACTGATATCTAAAGAAAACAGACAAAGAGTGGCCTAATCAAGAGAACAAAGTCTTGGGGTAGAGACCCCATTACCACAACTAGCAAAAGTTGATATATCCCCAGAAGTATATAATGTTGAAATGTAAATGAATAAGAAACATAAATAACATAACAATAAAAGTAGGGTAATTGTTCCCAACCCACCATCACTTTTTATGAATTCTGTTAAACTCATCGTGACTTTTCAAAACATCCAAAAAACTCACCATGTCAATAAGATTTTATTTTCTAAAACTCACCATCCCTTAGAATACTGTTAAAGTTCATTGACCCAAATTATCCACGTCAACCTAAATTCAAGTTTCATGACCAAACTGCCTTGAATAATGAATCAGCTTGTTAAATATTTTTTTGACCGAAATGCCCTTTAAGTGCCCAATCCTATTTCATATATAATATTCCCACTCACTATCTCCCTCCTTCGATCAGCGATTTCGTTTGTTTCCCGAAACAGTTCCCATCAAAACCCCTACACTTTCTAACGTCTTTCTCTGTTCTTTTTTATTCAAAGGTTTCTAGGGGAAGCGGGAACACAGGAAGTAGAGAAAGACGCTACTTAGAGCCGTTCACTCACCGGTCATCACCCCTGCTAATATACGCTCCTCTGCACTACTCCCTGTTGCTTCTCTCTCTCTCTCTCTCTCTCACAGTTCCCACTGCTCTGAAACATCAATGGAAAGTTGAAAACGTCGAAATTGATGCAGGGAAATTGTGGATCTTGTTGGGCATTTGGCACCACAGGAGCTGTCAACAGCTGGTGGATTGTGATCACATGGTTCACTGCTTTGATGACTCTAACCATAGCTCCATTTATCAGAATCCAGAAGCAATGTTGCTTCATACTTCATTTTTGAATTGATGATTTGTTCCATGTTTGTTTAGTGCGATGCAATGAACGTGACTTCCTGTGATAGTGGATGTGGTGGAGGCCTAATGACCAATGCCTACAAGTATTTGATGGAGGACGGTGGCTTGGAAGAGGAGGAGACATACCCTTACATTAGAAAACCTGGTGAATGCAAGTTCAACCCAGAAAAAGTGGTTGTGAGACTCGTCAACTTCACAAATATCCTTCTTGATGAGAATCAAATTGCAGCCCATTTAGTCCACCATGGCCCTCTTGCAGGTGAGCATTTTAAGTTTCTGGTTTAGATCTCTAGGGGAAGCGGGAACCCAGGAAACAGAGAAAGACACTGCTTAGAGCCGTTCATTCACCGGTCACCACCTCTGGTAACATACGCTCCTCTCCACTGCTCTCTGTTGCTGCTCTCTCTCTCTCTTCAAGACTCCTTTTGACCGGACAACAGCCATGACACCACCCGTCCGCCACCACTGTAGCCACTGTTACCACCACCCATGGTGACCACTACGACCACACTTCTCTTTCTCTTTGTGGTTTTCTCCACCACCACCCTGTTATTCTGCGTCCAGAGGAGTCCTAAAGCACTAGCTGAGATCCAGGCCTTGGTATCGTTCAAGCTCAATCTGCATGACCCGCTCGCCGTGTTGAACGGCTGGGATGCTTCCACACCATCCGCTCCCTGCGAGTGGTAAGGCATTGCCTGCTATAACGGTCAAGTCAGCGAACTCCACTTGCCTCGTCTTCAACTCGCTAGCCAACTCACTGACCACTTTGGTAAACTCACCGAGCTCTGCAAAGTTAGCCTTCGTTCCAACGCCTTCTTCTCTTTCTAAATGCTCTCGTCTTCGCGCCCTCTTCTTGCAATACAACTTATTCTCCGGTCGTTTTCTGCCGGAGATCTTCAACCTCACTGACCTTCAAGTTCTCAATGTAGCTCAGAATTTTCTCTCCGGTACCGGTATCTGGATTTTGATGCGGATTATTTCACATATAACATTCCCGCTCGGTGAGTGTCTGTCCTGATATTTTAATATTCACACTCAAGCATGATTGAAGAGAATTGTACAATTACCCATAAAAGTAAGTAAAGCAAATAGTAATGTTAGTGTAGTTAATAGATTTAGTAAGGTTAGAGTTCAAACTACACTAGCTTTGTTTCTTGCAAATATAAAAGAAAACAAAGAAAATAAAGTATAGATCTACAAGATCTCAAGGTTTTATGTATTGCAGTGTTTAATAACTTATAAAATAAACTACAAATAAGACACAACAACACAAAAGATACATAAGATTTTTAAAGAGGTTTCGACAATCCTACCTATATCCTCTACCTTATACCACCACTAAGGATTTCTGTTAACTGATTGGACTTCTTGGGCACTAGCCAAACCTTTATAACCAACAAGACTCTACAAGTGCCTACACTACCTAAATCAATTGGACTTACACCAGGTGCATCCAAACCAATAAGACTTTTGGGTGCTTGCAATACCTTGTAGTTAGGTTTAAGAGAGGTGCCAAAAAGATCTTAAATGGTATTTGATGAAGGGAAATTTGGCCCGACCTCGCAATCACTCTATGTGGCAAAATCAAAACAGCTCGGGACAAACAGCGCACCCAAGGCGTGGGTATTCAAGGAACCAGCGGTCCGAGCTCCCTTCTAGGAGACTCGAGCTCCTGACAAAAGAGCTCGAGCCTCACAAGGCAATGACCCGAACTGGCCCACCTCATGGCAGTTCGGGGCACTCCCCACCCCGAACTCAAGACTTCACCACGTCTTGCCACTCCTGCACCTCGCCTCCCAGATGCCAGGCTGACCGAACGTATCACCCCTGACATCGAGGGTGTCCGTATCCAAGGGCGGCGCACCTGATTGACTTGGGATCTGACGCGTGATAGCCGCACTTCAAACGACCTCCTGCCACGCCACCTGCCAACATCGTCACCAGTCGCAGAGACGACCTTGACAAAATGAGCAGTGACGGTTCTGCCCCGTCAGAAGGAATGACATCCGAACTGGCAGGAACTCAGAAATAATCATGCCCGATCTGGCAGAGCTTGGAAGTGAGTGCGCGAGGTGGTTATAAAAGGCTCCCGACCCCCCAAGAGCAAGGTATGCAAACCTTGCGCTATCTGGTTTCATTTTGCCTTTGAAGGATTCTAACTTGAGCTTCAGAGCCTCCACGCCGGGTCTCCCCCGGAGCGTTCTCACCCTTTGGTTTCAGGTTCCCCGTAGCTCCGTTCAGAGGCCAGGTCATCGACAACTAGGACCGGCCGGATCGCGCACCATCAATTGGCGCCGTCTGTGGAAATTCGCTTCTAAAAGCCACCCTTTAAAACTCTCAATCCCTCAACCCCCTCTTCTTCCAAAAACCCCAACACTCATGGCTTCCTCCAGTAACGTCGGACGTGGCACAAAGACAAACACCACCGGGGAACGACCCCAAGCTCCCATAGTATGCATCGGACAGTTCACCATCCCCCTTCCTGTTGATGGAATCCCCAGCTTGGATGCGCCTCAAACAGTGGCGCCCGTGAACCCTCCTACCATGAACATCCCCCCTTCGTTCCCTATCGAAACAACTTTTGCTGAACTAACCGTCGTCCCCCTGGTCCCCCTGGTGACCTGCCCAAACCAGTTGGACGATCTAATGCAATGCATGCGGGCGATGCAGGCCTAAATGCAGCAATTCCAGCAACATCAACTCCAATAGCACCAAGTACTACACACCACCTCTCCCAACATCATTATCAATAGCAATTCCCCCAACTACCCTTGAACCAGTCACTACTTCCACCTAGGCACCCAGCCCTGAAGCAGGTTAAGGCTTCCCCTCAGGGTGGACGCCCTCACCGCGGAGAAACCTCCCAGCCCCAGAACCCCTCTAATAGTCAAACCTCATCTCCAGACCAAAGGGAAAGGAAAATCACCCCCGCCTCGCAGCTCGCAGGCGGAACAGGAACCTCGCCCGCGAGGTCAGCACCTCGGCGCTCCAGGCCCGAGTTCCCGCTCACAGAGAACCAGTTCAGTGCCCTAGCAGTGGACTACCGACTTTCCGGGCCCATCGAGCTCGGCAACACAGAGGCCAGCAGCGCCAGTACCAGGCTCACTTAACGAAGGCGTCGACGAAGTTGCCGAACTGCCACCCGYGTCCTGCCCGAGCTCAGAGGGAAGGAAGAGACGAGCTCGGACGAGGTAAGAGCTGCCCTGATTCTCTCAGTTCCTTCTCCCCTCGCATCAGAACTCCTGGCAGTCCCCATGCCCAGAGACTTTAAGCTCCCACCTTTGGACAAGTATGATGGGTCCTTTGACCCCAACAACCACGTCAATGCTTTCCAGTCCCAAATGCACCTCGCTAGGGCCAATAAATCATGCATGTGCATAGCCTTCACCACCACCTTCAGGGGGGTGGCCCACACCTAGTACAGGAACCTAGCCCTAGGGTCAATAAGAAGTAGGACCCAGTTCGTGCAGGTATTCACAGCACACTTCGTCACCAGCAAGCGATGCCCTAGAACGGAGGAAAGCATCTTCGGGGTAATCCAGAGAGAAGGAGAGTCCATCCGGGGCTACATCAAGCGGTTCAATGAAGCATGCTTGCAGATACCGCGATTGGACCCTGTAGTTTAGCTCGCCGCGGCCATGAGAGGAGTGACGCACAAAGAATTCAAATGGCACATGGTAGCCAACCAGCCCGCGACCGTGGCCGAATTCCTCAAACTCGCAGACAAGTTCATGAGAATAGAGGAAGAAATCAACCAAAGGACCGAAGCCGGGGTCGAGAAAAGGAAAAGAGAAGGTGAGCCCACCAACCCAAGTGATAGGAGAAACCCAGCCTGAGAGGCGAAGCTGAGCCAGCCGTCCCGAGCTCCCTCAGCAGTTCGGACGGATTACACGCCATTAAACACGAGGCAGACTAAGATCTTGATGACGATCAAGAATGCCCCGTACGTGAAGTGGCCACCTCGCCTGAAGGGGAATCCAAACAAGAGGAATAAAAACCTATATTGTAGTTTTCACAAAGATCACGGTCATAGTACCGAACAGTGTAATAATCTTTGGGACGAGATAGAGGGACTCATCCGTCGCGGATACTTGAGAAATTTTGTACAGTATGATAACAATAAGGCAGGTCGACAAGGGGAGCATGGAAAGGATATCCCCGAATCCAGCAGCAAACCAGTCGAAGCACTGCTACGACAACCTCCGGAAGAAAGGCCAGTCCGAGGGACCATCCATGTGATAGTGGGAGGTTCGGTGGTGGCAGGATGTACTTCGGCAGCAGCCCGGACGTCAGTTCGCGAGGTAGCCCGAGAAGAACAGAACCCTCCAAAGAGGCCAAAGACGGAAGAACCGATCTTCTTCACGAAAGACGATGCGCGAGGTGTCCACTACCCTCACGATGACACGCTTGTCATAAAGCTAAGGATCAGCGACTTTGAGGTCAAGCGCGTGCTTGTGGATTCGGGAAGCTCGGCAGACATCCTCTTCAAGTCAGCATTTGAGTAGCTACAATTGCAGAGACGCGAGCTGAAGCCCTCAAATACTCCTCTGGTAGGCTTCAGCGGAGAAGAAGTTAAGCCCCTAGGGAAGATAACAGTACCTGTGGAAGTCGGCACATGGCCCTGTGCGGTCAAACTCAACCACGATTTCCTGGTAGTCGCGACCCCTTCCCCATACAATGCCATAATAGGACGGCCATTTACGCATATTCTGCGGGCGGTGGTCTCCACCTACTATCTGGCAATGAAGTTCCTTACCGACTTCGGTGTGGGGGTAGCGCGGGGCGACCAGCTTGAGTCCCGCAAGTGTTATGTTGCCGCCCTGAAGGGAAAGACCAAGGCGGTCGATGACCTCGAACTGGAGCAGCCTACGGAGCAGGGCGAGGAGCGAGCTTTGCCCACAAAAGCGATTGTCGCAATACCAACCTCGGCAACGGATCCGACTCGAACAATACAAATCGGTGCTTCCGTCGAGGAACCCCTACGAACTGAACTGGTGAGTTTTTTACTTCAAAATTTAGATATTTTTGTCTGCTCCACGACCGACATGCTCGGTATTAGCCCCGGCCTAATAACTCACAAACTTAATACTGACCTTGTAGTTAGACCCGTTAGACAGAAGAAACGCAACTTAGCCCTAGAGCGCTGGAGGGCGGTCGACGAGGAGGTAGAGAAGCTCCTCGCAGCAGGCTTCATAAGGGAAGTCCATTACCCAAGCTGGGTGGCCAACCCAATGCTGGTAAAAAAGGCGAACGACAAGTGGTGCATGTGCGTCGACTACACCAAC